ATATATTTATACATATATTTATACGCATATAAGTATACTCAATTGTATTCACGTACATTCAATATACTATTTATTTGTCAAATTTTCACTTGTTTGCCTTGGCAACTTTCATTTTCAACATATAAATGTATGTATATGTACATATATGCATATGCTACGGCATAGCAAAGCGGCATTTATGCATCTACATACATAAATAAACTACATACTTCTATCATAAATTACATTCATATGTATGTATATATTTACATATACATATATTTGTATGCACACACAAGCATACATGAAAATGCATATTAACTCAAAGAACAAAGCAGACATGAAAAAAAACACATTCCTCTTCATACGAATTTCTAATTAAGGCGAGAATAAAATGCAAATTAGTATGTTAATTTTTAATTCTGTGACGATAAACAGTTCATTAGTCGAATCGGTACATTTACATTTACATTTATAAATACAACTAAAACATGGAATTGGAATAAAAGTAAAATTCACAATATAAACAAAAAACATAAAGTAAATAATAACAAATAATTTGAAAGTAGAAAATCGCAAAAAAAAATATATATCTACATACACACTTCTACATGGATTTGTATGCGCTTTTGTATGTATGTATAGTATATTTGTGAAATAAACATAAAATTGAAAGTTAATAATTGTTAAGAACCTCAAAGAGGTAAATAATAGCAAAAGTCGAGCTTTGAAAGTGAATATTAATTGCACACACATGCAAACATACATACGTACTAATACATAATTAATTTATATACAAAAAAATTACAACATTGACATTGCACACTGCAATTGTTTATTAATTAGAACGATAAAATAGTAAAATTAGGGATAATTAAATTTTAATTAATTTTTTTTTTTGAAAGTAACTGCCAAATGAGCTTAACTTTTACAAACACACATGCACAGATTAAGAAAAAAATTACTAGCTGCTCTAACATTTCAGCTTCACAGGGATAAGGAAAAATTTTTAAATAAAATTTTCAATCGCACGGAAAGGAGATTAATATTTTAAAATAAATGAGTTATGTTAAATTTTTTGCTTCATCTTCAATCTCTTTTGGTCAGCTAATTCATTGTAATTAAAAATGCTTTAATATGCTAATGATTTTCTTCCAGTAATATCAAAATATCTTACAACTCGGTCAAGTATCACTACATCAAAGAAGCCCTCTTAGATCACTTGTGACATGAAGCCGATAAATATAACAGTAATTTTGCACAAACTTATTTTCATACTGGGAGCAAAGAGGCGTAGTGTTCTTTTATGATCGCCCCAATTATAAAGGAAGCTACAAGTTTGTGCTACAAGCAGAGGTTGTGAGCATTACCAAAGTTGCCAACTGGGTAACAGCTTTAAAAAGAGAAATCCCTCAAACAGACACTCTCCAATTAAGTGGACAGTGATGGAAAGGAGACAGGTAGAAGACTGCCATGAAGTCAAAGTCTATTTCTGCTAGCTTGTGCTGTTCTCATGGCCTTGCAACCTTTCAAAGCTTTCGAACTTTTTTTAAAGCAACAGTGCTGAACACATCTAACGTACAACGTAACATTCAATTGCTGCTTCAACTGAGTATTACACACAGACCAGTGCTTTGACGAAGCATTTACTACTAAGATTTCATCATCCGTCCCACAGCCGATTAAAACGTCATATCTGTTACGATGTTTCCATCTTCAAGCATAATTTGAAGATATTCCCAAATGCATATGTCAAGTGAGCGAAACAAAAATGAAGCTACCGACCTTGGAAACTTGACCAGGTAAACTTTAAATAATTATACAAATCGAACCTCTGTAATACCATACTTACTGTAGGCTTTATCCATTGCTTATTCTAGGTATTGCAGCTTTTCCGCGCTAAGTGAAGTCAACCTATGTATTCTTAAAGTCTGACACTAAAAGATTATATGATCCACATATTCCTTGCATGCACTTGCTGATCTCTATCATATCTAAATTGAAAGCATAAGCCTTGATAATAACCCTACAATCAGTCTTGAGTCTGTCACTAGCACAAGCTTTGCTTTATATGTTTTACGCATAATTCTCGCCATTCGCTCTCAAAGTTTGTTAGCCTGTTTTTAGTTCTCATATCGTTTCTTCACTCAACTCATATTTCCTGGTACCCAGCAGATGTGAAATTTGATCTTCACCGACAGTCTTTAGTGCATCTCTTTGCAAAGTGCAACAACTACCTCTTTGTGCTGCATCACAGTAAGGCTTCAATAGTCAATGGGTTATATGGATGTACTATAAATAACTGATCTCTTTGCAAAATTTTCAACTTAACACACTTTTTAATATCTAAGCCTCGGTCAATTGCTTCAGCCAGCTTTGATGACGCAGGCTACTAAGACTTTGCAGCCTTTCCAGCTTGTTTTTTATTCGTAGACTTCCATTATACCAGACCACCTTAGTAATGGCATTGCGGTTCGAAAATCCAATGCAGCCCAAAAACATTTTACATATGTTAAGAACCGCTAATGTCTTCCCCATTTGCTCATCTACATTGAGATTCGAGGTCAATATTTTGTCTAAAACAAATCTCAAGCTTATTTTCGGCAGTGGAGTGGTCTCCCTTTGGCTTGATCCAACAAATGCCACATTTCCGAATGTTATATCTAAGCTGCTTGGTGACGCCAAACTTTGTGCTAATCGAACTCGAACGACGGAACAAAGCAGTAGCATATGAAGATGATCACGCTTTGATGGCATGAGAGGTTTGTTACCCTACATAACCAATAAGATTATTTTACTCACGGACAGCAAAGAACAGACTACGCATTAACCCTATTAAGGTTCCATTCATCAATAGAACCCGTACCTCAAAACTTCAAATCTTTTTCTCTCAGTACTGACAATCCTTTGTTCCCCACAGCAAAATATTTTGGTAACTATATTCATACCAAACTGGATTTCAAGAGGAAGGTAGAAGAGAATACTTATCAGGACTTTAAAAATAATATGGTTATGTGAATATCTAGGGTTTCTACAATATATTACCAATCTAAGTATACAGTGCTGGATGAGTGACCATCATTGCAGACACATCATGATTTCAGGAAGTTGAATGAAATACAAAGAGTTACTTGTGCAGAGGTAACAGGAGGCATTAAACCATATACCACAGATGCGCTTAACATGCTTCTGTTCCATCAATGACTTTGAAATGGCCATCATTCTCAAATTTTCAGCAGGTTAGACTATTAAATTAATGGAGTGAAGTTATATCAACCAAAAACAATTAAGGCAAAGCAATAAACAAATCAACTCACAGGTGTGGATACTCTCTCAACCAGAATGGTTAACAGGTATTGCAGGAGTAAAGGATGCTATTTCAATCATCACTGACGGTTATAAAATGGATTGTGTGGTGGGGGCGGCCATACACTTCGGGCATCTTTGCGTATGGAAAACTAGCTATAGAAAAAGCATGGAGAGCTTGGAAAGCTAAGCAGCTAACTTTATCGTCGTCAGTGGATTTTCAAGCAACAACAATTTTATATAAGGCTCTAAGTTCACTAATAGGTATACTTGCAGGCTCTTTAATCAGGCTTTGCAATCAATACTAAAATGAAGAGTTACACCACATCCATTAAAACGCGATCAAAAGAAAGCTTCACTCGTTCATATATATTGATATTGGTGCTTATATAAGCGCTGAAGCGCTTTTCAGCTGATCTCCTCTTCCAACTTGTTTTTCTAACAAATGGAGAAACCTACAGCTTTTACTAAACTGCATACAATAAATATTTAAAGAGGCGCCTTTACTTCATGTTAGAAATAAACACAAGCCGTGTGAAGAGGCGACCGCCAGAAGAAAAATAAATTTTCTAAAATTTCGGCTGTTAATCGGAAACGCACTCATACCCTGACATTCGGAATGGTAGTAAGCAATGTTAACCACTAGGCTATGGCAGCCGCTTCATCACTATTTTCACGAAATAGAGCTAAACAGATGGAAATCCAAAACCACTGGAAGATAACGAAATAGATTTGCGCAAGCATGAAGCAAGAATACCAAATTACCCATTACAAGGTCCAAGTATATATAGAGACACAGCCACAATAAAGGATCACTGCCCCTTTTCCGAACACTGTTTGCTTTCAAACATTTTTGATGGAACTCTACGATAAATCTCCTTCTCTATACTAACCATTTAAAGCTTCTAAATCTATCTACTATCGCAAGTAACGAATCAATTTGCATTTCATTGCTCTTCTCTGAGGTAAACTTCAGTATTTCAACTCGTGTATCTAGGCAGTTTAGGTTTTAGTATTAAAGTCATGTGAATCAAAATATGAATTAAATGACTCTTTCGCACCTTCGATCTCTCAGACTCACTTTTAAGCATCAAAACAACTATTCTTACTTATGTCATCAATTAAATTTTAAACTTCCATTACAACTAAATTTTTTCTATAGCTGAAATCTCGACCAGTCATGACGCATTCGTGGGGCTTATTATTATTATTAATCTAAGTGAGTCTGCTGATCTGCAACAGGAGGAGCAAAATAATTCATTTTTTCTATGAGTGCACAGCTCTTATATAGAATCAGCAAAGAACATTTGGAATCTGAGTTTGATGTACAAAAGGGCTTTCCACTGAAAACATTAACTAGTTTACTACCTATGTATCGTGCAATCTCTATTTAACTATTACTGACCTACAGATGAACTATATTGCTTACATAATATGATATATTTGTAAATATGACTCTTAATTGAAGCATTTATATTTGAAACAACTCTCAGGAATTTTCATATTAAATTTTATTGACATTTATTTAACTTAATTGTACATGAATCATAAAAAAATGCAGTAAATTTTAAATAAAATAAAAACTAACACTTATACAAGGTGAGTAAAAGTACTTCTGAAATGCTCTATAGTGTACTTCAGTTTCATTTAAACGCACTTGAGCCACTAGAAGAAACACCTCACACTGCATGGCAATCTTATTCAAGTCTCTGATTCTACTTCTCTTTCACCTGCAACTTCTGCATTCTCTGCAATTTCTTTTCACCCACTTCGCACATATAAGTTTTGTAGTAGAAATCACAGAAGAGTATAAGCATAAAGAAATTTTGCAAAAAGGCAACCCAAACCCAAAATAAGTCCAGACCACACCAATTATTCAGTATTGGCAGCGATAATTGAATAGTCAATGAGCAAAATTGGAAAATTTGCAATAGTGTGAGTGTACGCTTCCAAGGTGTGATATCTGTTTGCCATTTCAGAGTCGCCATAAAATAATAGCTGTACATGCAGATGTGTATGAAAGAGTTGATGATGCCGGTAAAGGTGAAGTGAGCAGCTTATAAGAGAACAGAAAAAAGAGGTATTTTATTTTTATTTACGTTCTTCCTATGGGCTATGGATGTGAGATTTTTACCAAAATTCAATGTGCAATATACCCATACAGCATAGACCATGATGGTGTGATGATAGACGTGTAGAAACGAAATTTGATTATGCTTTTTGCGCAGCAAGAAAAATATCTGAAGAAAAGCAAAAACAAAAAAAAATATATTTATGTGATTTCGTATTTTTTATTCTTGATCACCGTGTCCAGCAAGTCCATGTACTTTGAGACGTAATAAATATAAGCGGGCCAAAGCAGCGCCATTGCTTCTGGACTAGTGTCCTTTGGGTTATATGATTGACATGAGAGATAAAAATTCGGTTTTAGATAAGATGCGCGCAGTGACTAAAATTTAAAAGAAAAATAAATGGAAAAATTAAATATGTCCAACTATTGTACAATAAAATAAAATTAAAATAAATTATATTCAACTAAACTAAACCAAATTAAAATAAATAAAATAATGTAACATTAAAAATAAATTAACGCACGTATAAACCAAAGTAAAATAAAATAAAATAAAATGAAAAAAATTAAATTATATGAAAAAGTAAGAAAAAAATATAAAGAATTTAAGTAAAATAATTGAAATTAAATAAAGCCAAATAATTTAAAATAATTTAAAGCGGAATAAAGAAAAGTAAAATTATATTATATTATTATACATTAAATAAACATAATTAAAATAAACTAAAGTAAAACATAATAAAATAAATTTAATTAAAATAAAACAGCATAATTAAAATAATTTAAGATATAATAAAATAAAATAAAAAATAACATAATATAAAACAAAAAAGTAAAACAAAATAAAGTATATATAAGTATATATCAAATAGAATGAAATTCAAAAAATTAAATAATATGAAAACAAAATAAATTTAATTGAAATAACATGAAATAAAAAATGAAAATAATATAAAATAAAATGCTTTAAATTATAATCAAATAAAATACAGTTAAATTAAAAAAAATTAAATTACCTAAAATTAAATTAAATTAAATTAAATCGAATAAAAAAAATAAAACATTAAATAAAAAGAGTTAAAATAAAATAAAATAAAATAAAGAAAAAAAACAATCTTAATTAAAATAACATAAAATAAAACAAATTATTTAGAATAATTTAAGATAAAACAAAATTAATTGAAAAATAAATAAAACAACATAATATAAAATGTAAAAAAAAATAAAATTAAGTATAATAAAATAAAATGAAATATATAAAAGTAAAAAAAACTAAACTTAAGACAAAGTGAAATAAAAAATGATAATAAAGTAAAAAAATGCGTTACATAAAAATCAAATAATATACAATTACATCAAACCAAATTAAAATAACTTAAATTTAATTACATAAAATTTAAAATATAGCAATATAAAATACAATTAATTAAATTAAAATAATATAAATTAAAATAAAAATTAAAAAAAATACAATCAAATTAAATAAAATTCAAATAAAGTAAAATAACTAAAATCAACTAAATTAAAATAAAATGGAATAAAAAATGATAATAAAATCAAATAAAAATGAAGTAAAGTAAAAAAAATAATATAATATAGAGGAAAATAAATTAAAGTAATATAGAATTAAGTTAAATAAAGTAAAATAATTTAATTAAAATAATTAATTTTTACTAAATTAAATTAAATTAAAATAAATTAATTTATATTAAATCAAATAACAATAAACGAAATAAATAAAAATACTAAATTAAAAAAAAAAAACTTATATAATAATATAATATAATTTTATCAAATATTAAATTAATTTATTTTTTGCAACTAAATCTTACCGCCGTAAATATGTATATGTTGAGTGCTACCTGGATTAGATTATAAACCTGCATAATTGGTTTCACATTAAAGGGCTTTCGGCTTTCCATAAATTTTGGTCCCCATTTCAGGACTGTGAGTAAATATATTACTAAAATAGTAAACATAGGCCATGGTGGGCCCAAAAGTGGTAACGACGACGTGCGCAAATCTAAAATATTTAATTAAAGTTTACAGTTAAATATTTTACCAAACATAGTCATAAAAATTAACTTTAAACAGTGGGAACAAAACTAATGGTATTTATTAGCTTTCATGGAATTAATGACTTTCTCAGCACTCTTCGATATTCATCCCACAGAGATCTTAATTCAATAGGATATCAGGTTAAAAGAGTCTTCACAATTAAAATAACTCAATGTTTAATTTATTATATGAAATAGATTTTCTCAAACCTCTTGTAAATGCTGAATCGGCTTTTCGTAACTCGTTATACAACAAACGCAAAATGAGAAACATTACGAAATTTCAAAGTTTTAAATTTGTACAACAATTTTTGGACAATGCCAACAGCTTGGCGTTTCGCGGATTACTATTTCTTCAGATATTTTAGAAATTGAATTTTACCTTTAAACAGAGCAGTGTATATATAAAAAATAAGTATTAAATAATTCGTTATACAATTAATATATATATTATATGATATGATTATATTTGCATATAACAAAACGCCATTTCTTCTTCACACTTTCGCATTGAATGCATTTTTTTGAGTTTAAGTTATTCCATGTTCTTGTATTAATTCCTGATACTTTTAGCGAATTTATATGCAAATTGACGTTGCAGCGCTATTCTTTATTCTGGTATTTGTTGTTATACAATACATAAGTAAGGTAATCTCCTAATGATTATTTATATTATTTTCCGAACCCAAGTTGTCAGTACAAGACTAGGTACATTCTGACATGCCGCTTTCAGGTATATTTAAATATAAGTATATTTAATATTATTTTATTTAATTAGAAATTAAGTACAACTCCCACCCTTCAAAAATTATGTAAATATGTTAGCACAGTAATACTATGCATATATCTTTTCTGATGGTCATTAGGGCTAGTAATTATGTTTACAGCAAATTGGTCTCTTTATTTACCGTAATTAGTTCAAATTATACGATTTATTTATATTTGACCGTTATGTAATATTATTATGTCGATTTCCGCATGCTTGGCGCTAATTCTGCACAAGCCAAATCCTTCGCCATAGACAGGAATAGATGGTAATAACTTGGTGTGAGGTCCAGACAATATGATGGATGCAAAAGAACATCGCAAACAAGCTCTCGGAGATTCTGGCGGAAAAATATCGATGATTATGGTTTGGCGTTGTCGTGATGTAGCCCAATCTCTCTCCTCACCAAAACTGGGCTCTTCTGGGCGCTTGCTTCCTTCAAACGGTGTAATTGCTGGGAGTACCGAACCAAGTTAAGAGCTTGGCCGTAAGAGAGGAGCTCATAATGGATGATTTTTTGCCGGCATTCAGATCGTTCGTGACAGCTCACTGCTCTTCGAAAACCGCTTTCATAAGCAGTAATTTTTCAAAATGAGTCAATTTTGTTACTACTCAGCAGAGATTCAAAGATGGAGATTTGGACAATGAGATTTTTACTCGTTAACTCATGTGGCACTCATACATCGTGTGTTTTGTGTAACCAGCTTTTATCAAGCGGTTCCATACATTTCTTGTCAGCTGTTTAGTTTGTGAGCAAGCAAAACGTTGATCCTTTGATGATCGACGATTTCCACGATTGACTTTCCATACTTTTAAAAATCAAATCAAAACCCGAAATCGACGGAACCAAAAAAATTATTGTGATTAAGTTTTTGGATTCGCTTTCCTGCCGCTTCTAACCGAAATTTCTTAAAATCCAACAAAATGGAAATAAAAACAGCGTATACAACTTTATTTCAAAAAGTGGAGTTTTCTAATTATGTTGGGATTCTTTTAGCTGTTCACTGTATGCTCGGCACGTTCTTCTTAACGCTTGCTTTAGATACAACGTAATCCACATTTGGTCGATATTTAATATTATTTCCAATGATTTTTTCCGCCTTGTTGTCATGAGTGGACATACCATCTTTAGACAGCTCGAACTGTATGTGAGCAATTTGTTATTATTATTTTCATAATAAAAAACTTGCATTGAGAGGAGCTGATAATTGAAACCTAAATGAACATCGTTGCATCACCGAGTTGATAATGGCTTTTCAAATAACGAAATTACCATCGCTGAACGCGATATGATTTGGTCCAATTTATATACCTACTAATCACTTCCAAAAAATACATATAAAACATAGGTTCAGTAAAATACAAATCTTCCTAACTGTGTTCTTTATGATAAGTTAATCTTAATTAATTAATGATTTTCTTCCCTTTTTGGCATATTTATTTTAGGAAGCGACGTTCCAAGCTTACCTACCTGAGATTAATTTCTCAAACATAATACAAAAAGGAAATATCACGAGCACACCGCCAACAACAAGATGCAGTATTTTGCCTTGGCAGATTTCATCAATTTTTGGGATGACGATAGTGTAATCTGTGTTGTAGTTCACGGCGGAACGACCCTACTCTGTGCAGAAGCACAAAAGATCCATACGTGACATATCACAAAACAATTGTGTATTCCTACGTATAGCAATTTCACAATTTTTTCTTATATATAAATCAATAATATCTCAATGTAACAACCCTTCCTTAACGATCTCGGTTTTTCTTTCGTAGATTTGACTAGTTTCTGTGAATTGCTGACCAAGAATTGTTGAGGTGTAGACAAACAGTTTAAGAAAAATCAGTGAAAACTCATGAAATGCTGAAATAGAGATATTCAGATATCATAAATTTTATGAAATGTGGGTATTTTTCGACACTATGAAATATTAACAAGTACATAAACTTAATAATTTTTTTGTTTTCAGTTATGAAGTGAATTAGTACCATTCTGAAGCGATTAAAAAATATTAATTACAAAATGACAGCCACCGTGGATATTCTGTAGCAATATATGTTACTACTATTTACGTTGTATGGATGGCTTTTGTATTCGAATTTTGGCTAGATTAACATCAATTTCTTTTTTTCGAATTTATTTCGAACAATATATTATGTGTATAGAGATGTCAGAGAGTTTAAATTTTCTTCAAGTTATTTACAAATAAAAATATTGCAGAGCTTGGACATCATTTTGTTGCTTTCTCCATCTCAAAGCGTAACCAAAAACCCGACTGTGTCAATTTATCGAGCTCTGGAGCTGGTACTTTCACTTGGACACACGTCCCTAAAAAGTCCAACTTATATAACAAAAGATACTATCCGATCATTCACAACGCCGTACATACGTCGATTGGGTATTTGAAAAACAAGCAGGAGACGGCGGTTTTTGGAAAGAAATTTGCTTCAGCGACGAGGTGCATATCTCATTCGGAGCATACGTAAATAAGGAAAATTGTCGCCATTGGCGCTCCGAGTCATTATTCCTCTATAATAAACTTATTATCTGGTATGCTCTTTGATCCGGAGATGTGACTGGACGTTACGTCATATGCCTCATAACACGAGCGAATGTAACTGTATTGCGAGACAAATTTCACGGCTTAATAAGCCCTCGTCTTGGCGATGTATTGGTCACCGATAGTTTGCGATTTTACTCCATTGGGTCTTTCTGAGAAATCTGCTTTAAAAGCCGTGTTTATGCGGATAAATATTTAACTTTTAAACACTTGAAACGTGATATTTTTCTAGTTATGGTGATGGTCGAAAATTTATCGAAATTTGCGAAAATTCGCGAAACGGTCATTTGAAGGATGTAGTGTTGCATGTATAATTTTAGGTTTCAAACTAGGATTTTATAAAAAATGTATTTCATTTGAATTTTATTTACGTTTATTTTCGAAACAGCGATTCATAACCGTTGAATCGATTATGGACCTACATTAAACTTAAGTAAAAAATGTTCATAAAACTTTTACAGTCGTTCGGAGGCAGCTTAGCAAGAACTACTCTCAACACGAGAGCAGTTGTAAGTCACTGAACTTTATCTAGTTTGCTCCAATATGAGAATATATTTGGCATCAAACATATACATATATATAGTTTAAATTTGAACTTCTACCGTCACAAATCGTTTGTCACATTTTGGTATATTTTCGACCACTTAATTCAACTTCTGATTTATAATTAATCAACCGCTCCAGGCAGAGCGTTGACAGTAAATAATTACCAAAAGTTATACAAAGAAAACTTAACATTTTTCGAAAACGTCAATACCTATGCAAGTTGCTGCTAGAATCATCCACTAAAGGATATATACGTATATTTACACTCCATGACCAAGAAAGATTGTCATTGTGAATTTGTTGCACGTTATCCGTTTATTTATAGTTTAAATTATGGCAATGAAATTTCGCTTTAGATTCATATTTTGCTTTCAACAGCATAATTGCCAAATTTCGTACAAACATTAATTTAATTGACGACCAAAAAGCTATTTGTCTCCCAACAACAAACAATTAGTGGAGAGCAAAAAATTTAATGGAAAAGCGCAAAATATATATAGACACACGAAAATACACGCAAACACATACACATACATATATATATGCAGGTATGTCGACATAGTTACCCACTAAAAATCTAAAATTAATTACTGTTATATTTTTAGTAAATTTCCGCTTGGGAGCCATACTGATGGAACAGCCGAAACATAAAATTCTCGCCGCAGCCGCAAGGCAATCAAGTAGCGGCAACCTGGTTCAAATATATCTGTGTCTATATAGACGTACTTTTGTTGCAATATAACCGTTGTAATAGAAGTTTGTATATTTGTTTTATTATATTTTTTTTTTTTTTTTTGATTTCATTTATTTTTTTTATTAATTTTTTTTTTTGGTTTTGTTTTGAGAATGTTTTCCAAACTATTCCTATAAATCATGCGCTTTCAAGTAATTATTACGGCAACAGCGCCTATATAACGAGCATGCTGCATGCATACTTACATATATACACTTACAAATATACAAATATATGAGGACATACCGAAAGGCGCTGTTAAAATGAAAGTATTAGATATATATTTATATATATATTTATATAAATGTGTGTAAATGTATATATGAAAGCGCTGGTATTTATGTTAAAGCCCGCGCTGAGTACAATGCGCCATAATTTAAACTGGCAGCATAGCGGGTTTTTATATCGCCGTCATCGTCGGCTTTGATAGCAGAAAATCGTTGCAATGCTCACAGCTACAACAAACGGGTGTGTGTGGTTGTGCCGCAACCGTTACGCGTAGTGTCACATTGTTTCACCGGCTTTTAGGACACCAATTACAACAAAACCAATAACAAAGTGTGCAACGTATGTATATTTGCAGAGAGGGACATACTCGTATACTGGGACTCCGAGTAAAATGAACCCAGTCGGGAGCGAAGTTGTAGAAAATTTAAAGCTGGATCGACTAAAAGTAGAACCGATAGGCAGAATATTTGCTTGGTCCAAAATACTAAATCAATGCTAAAATTTAATAACGACTTAATTCAATAAGACTTTATGTTATATTTACTAGCGAAATCTCCATCGAACTAGAAAAATTGTAGAGTCATCTCAGGAGGAACCATGTCGAAACTATTTTCTTCTTCTTCTTTTTCTTGGCGTAGACACCGCTTACGCTATTACAGTTGGCCCTTATCCTCTTGATATTTCTAACGGTGTAAATATTTAATTCTAAATTCGCCTCTTATTAATTAACTGAACTATGTCGACGGTGTCGTATAGCTCGCACAGCTCGTCGTTCCACAAATCTTTCTCAAGTACTTTCTCTCGAAAATTGCAAGCACTGACTTATCAGTTATCCACATAGTCTCCGCATCTTCACGATCTAAAAAGAGGGAGTAAAGATTTCAGCTTGTTTCTTCAACAGAGTGCTGAATTTTTCATTTTCTTACTCCGTTCATAGTACTGAATCAGCGTTAGATTTCAAGGCTGGCAGTGTCATTGGTGGTAAGAATGCCTCCCCAGATAGACATAATAGTACCCGCCTACAAACTTTTGATTGTCAACAGGCACGTGGGAACCATGACAGGAATACGTTGAATGTTTGTTTAACGACAGGAAGAACTTCATGTTGCTCTCCCTTACTACCGGACCAATGTTGGTGAGGGCCATAATATTAATATTACCGACGCACAAAAGCAGTTAAACACTCTCTAATAAGTCAGACGGTAAAGAGTCATATAGTCTAAAATCCAATTTCGAAGAAGAGAACTCGGAGAGGTTTTTTCCGAACCAGCTGGAACCTTTTTTTTCAATAAGTTTATACAAAGCGCCTGGCGACAGATGTATTTCTATGAGGAACTTTTCTTTGATGTCAAAAATACGAGGGTATGAGATTCCCTCAAGAGAGCCAACCTCTATTAAAGATAATAATTTTTCATTAATGGTACAAGGAGTGGAACAGTAGCCTTTTGAACATCAGTACTCACTGTGAACCACTCGACTATTACGGCCGAGATATACTTAAGAAAATAAATTGTGAAATTTTTAGAAAATGCTGGATATGGAAGGAAATAATTTTAAATTTCATTCAAACTGAGCCTACCACAAACAAAACTCTCAAATTAAACTTTTATTATCTTTCAAAAGTTCAGCTTAAAAAATTCTAAGAAAATTAATTATTCGCTGCTGGGAAAACATATTTCTAGATATAAACATATGTACATACATGTTTAATTGTTACATATACACACAGCGGCTCATACCTGCAAAGCAATTTCAACACAAACAAATATTTCTACACCACCGTCCATTATTTGGGTATTTGCAATATTTTGCGCCTCGCCTGCAGTCGCGAAATAAATTTTGATTTATGGACGTTTTAGCGCTTATATCCAAACCAAAGCCCGCTCTCGGCACGGCGTTTCTGCCACAACCATTTATCGTGCTCACATATGTGGGCATATGTGTATGCATGAGTGTGCGTCAGCAAAGCGGTTGTTATTGAACCCTGGTTGACCCACAGTCGTACGGGCACATAAACACATGATTGCATTTCGGATTCAGATTCCATTTTCTACAAAATAACAATATTTTTTAGGATCAGAAAATTTTTCGCTGGAAACAAAATTGAAAGAAAAATATGGCATTACAAACAGTACAAAATATTACAAGTGTTTTAAGCACAAATCCCAACATCAAAAAAGTAAGCAAGAAAAACAGGATGACTTAAAAAATACATGAAAAAATGTATAATTCGCGCATTGCAACCGCGATTTTTGGCCAACCTCCTCCTCCAGTATTTGCTTTTGCGTCTTGATATTTTTCAACAAATGGAGAGACCCAAAGTTTATACTAAGCCGCCTCCGAACGGCTGATGGTTTTTTGAAGAGGAGCTTTGATTTTATATCATTCATGACATTCCCTGACGAGGGGCATGCATGCAGAAAACAAAATTTTAAGAAAAGTCTTTTTTTTTTAATTTGTGTATTATAGATATAAAACGCATCGAGATCACTCTTTCTAGGAATATTGTTAGATAGTTAGCTCCCTTAGAACCATCATACCGCACTCTAAGCTTGCTAGGCGGCAATGGATAGAAGATGGGGACTAAGCCCGCACATCGTTGCCCGACTAAACAAAATGGTAATAATAATCATATTATCTTACGGAATCACTATTTCGTGGCTGGTGATGGCTTGATAAAGTTTACTTTAATTTTCTCCTGACAGATCCTTATGGGGAATTAAGGGCGAGCAGCAAGGCCATAGGTTTAAATGCACATAGCAAGCCGGGATATTGAATTATACACTATTCTCGTATGATGTGGACTACTTAAATTCTGTTTTCTTTTTCGAAAACACTTTCTGAGAGGAATTAACCCGTATCCCTCTTTACGGACGGCTCAAAACTCGATAGCAGGGAGAGAGTGCTAAGTTCACTCGGAACCACTAACGATCACCATTAGTCAGAGATTTCCAGACCGCTGCAACGTATTTTAAGCTGAACTAAGAGCAATAATGGAAGCCGACTCAACTCCAGCATAAGTATTTAAACCTAGCACAATTTATTCTCACATCCAACTTGTCATTATATCTCTTCACTGTAATTATACCAGCTGAAAGGTGACAATAAGATATAGAAAAATCTTAAGCAAACTCTCAACTGTTCGCGAAACAACTATGGTTTGGGTGCACGGACGTATGGACATCCCAAGAAATTTCGAGGTCGACAAGTTAGCTATAAGGTGTGCAATCCTAACCGCAGTTAACTGAGCTTACGATGCGGCCATACCTCTATTTTCTGAAAAATATCTCCGAAGATCGGCCTTCACCAGCTAGACCAATAGCTGATAGCAGAGTGAGATCACACACAATCCAGTGAGTAATAATAACTTAGCATATAGTCCTTCTAAGCAGAACCTTGGCGACCGTAACAACCGGACATTGGTGTCTCAACATAGAATGTACGAGGTGGAATCTATAGAGCACTACCTCAGGCACCGACTCGCTTTAAGTGTGGTACGACATCGTTTCCTCGCAAGTTTCTACTTTCATTAATTTCATGTTATCATATAAGAAACCAAGTGGTTTCAGCATCTAGAAAGATGAGTGGAGTTTCTTTAACTTAAAAATGGTTCTTTGGTATTATGGTTTTCTTCAGTCTACTCGATTAGTTATCAATACGTACATACACATATGATGATGCAATTCCGTCCATACCCTCTGTTTAAGAATGGCTGCGGTTAGCTTGTAGCACCAACACCATCGAATGGCGTGGACTTGTTCATTTGATCTGATTCGTTTTCGACTTCAGAGCATGGAAATTGGTCCTCTTCCACATCTACCTACAGGTTTAATACATTACCGGATTAGTTTTAAACTGAAGGCGTTTCATTTTCGCAGCTAGAATGTAGACAAGCATCTGCTGATGGGTTCAGCTGTAGAGGCTCAGCCGCGAAGTTGCCTGACACTTCACAGATTTTCGTTTTACCCATTTCTAGGGTTTCCTACCAGTTTTCTGACGAGATATACCAATACCAGGGGCTTTTGTCTAATACCGTCGATGTTATTTGAAAGATTTTGCAGGTGTCATGCTGATCGGGACATTTTCGAAGATATATATCTTTTGGAATCACCCTTAGTGTCCTCCTGAAATTGAGGCATTTCAGATGCTATTTTATGGATGAAGGCTGGCCTTCTGATTCTCCCTCAAATCATTAGCTTAGTCGGCACTAAGCTTAAAGTTGAAAGCAAGTTTGCTTTTATCTCTGTGCCCTGAAAGACATAACGAAGCGTTAAAATAGCTGAGTTATTTTCGGTAACAAAATATGGGTATTTGCTGAGTAAGACTTACTGCCAGTCGCCTTAGGTTGAGGTATTTTTTTCTGGTTAGGACTTTCGTGATGAGAGTTGGGTGTCTCCTCATGGGACAAAGTTTTTTGTCTGATGTTTGTGAAGTACTTTTTCATGGGTATGGAAAGCCGAGGAAATTTGGTCGTACAAGTAGCTTTAATCGACTCTGTCCCAACGGTTTCTGTGACCTACAAGAGACCGGAGAAATATGTAGCCGACTGCAGTAGAGTTTGTATCATAAGAAATCGCCTTACTTCAGGTATCTCTATTAAGAAAAAAGGATCTACTGAAACTTCTTACATTATTTTAGAATTTCAGGTTCCATCTCAATTTTGTGAGTTCTTCAGAAGTAAGTAAAGGCACGATGAAATTAACTTACTTGCTCACCGTTCTATATTATTATGTTATCGGAACTTTCACAATACGGTGATATGCCCAGTGTACCTGTCCTTTGCTACCCCTTGAGTTTTGCAAGAGGGCACCACTGAAAAAGATTATTTATTTGCGCCTGAGCGACTCTTTGATAAAAGCACGAAACCAAAGGGGAACTAAAGAAAAACTTTAGTTTATGTATTAGATTTTATCTACAATGCCTCAGCAAAGCTTGCTCGATACCTGTCACAATAAATTAACCTCCAAGTAATGGAAACATGTGGATCGAATTTAATTCGCTGAAGCACGAGCACAAACAAACCGCAGCACTTGACCACTTTTTGTTCAATATGTGTGTGTATATTATGCACTAGGGCAAGTCAAAGCTACGAGTATTTATATAGCAAAATGAAAACAGAAAACGGTGTTTTTTGGGATGTGTGTTTTTGCAATGAGACAATATTTTTTTGGGAGATGGACTTTCTAGCAGTTGTAATTTGATTTATACTAAGTTTGGTTTGCCGCATTATAATGAGCAGATTTTGTAAGTCGTACCAATTTATGACCAAAATACTGGTTTTAATCGCGGCAACCATCGCACTTTGCATACAATATTCAGCAGATATAATCGTCCAGTAAAGTTGGTAATTCGAGCAACGATGGATCGGTCACAGACCACGTTTTGCTCTAGTATATGATGTAAACCCTCAGAGATGCCATAAAATTCGCATCCAATGCGCTATTACTGCTGTGGATCATAATACCGAAGAAGTCCAACCATTAGAGGCCTGGCCATCGGCTTTTCAAAAGATTTTATGGCAGAATCTTGGTTTGCCGATGGCGTCAGCCGAGTGGTTAGCATTGCGCACTGACATTCGGAAGGCTCGGATTCTGGTACGACCAATTTCCAATAGTTATAGAAAATAATTTAAATAAAAAATTAAGTTAAAACTTCTAATTACAGTCGCCCCTCGGCAGGGAATGTCAACTCCACCGAGTGCATTTCTGACATGAAATAAAGGCTCCTCATAAAAGAAGCCATCAGCCGCTCTGTGGCGGCTTGGTATAAAATATAGGTCACTGCACTTGTTGGAAAAACATCAAGACGCAAGACGGAAAATTGGTGGTGGAGCTCGGCCAAAAATCGCTTCAGCGGTTACTTAGCCAATTAAGTATAAAATATAAAATTTTTATTTATATATATATAAAAGTTCATATTTGGAGTATTAATAATTTCCAAGCCATTGTTGAGACAGCCTAACATCTTCAAAAAAGTAATTAATTCGTGTGCCCTTTAGATAGAGGGTATCTTTGCTACATAATTTTTCAAAACTCAAGCCGGCCATAATGTCACAGTTAATGCCTTTTTCGCGCCTGAATAGAGAAGATTGATGTGGTCGACCGTCGGTTCCAGCAAGATGGCGCCAAGTGCATAATAGCCAACGAACCAATCTCAATTTGTAGAAGAAAGATGAGTGGATTATTTCGCGTCGTGCGCCCATCAGTGGCCACCAAAATTGTGAGACTGACCACCATTTGGCTGTTTGTTTTTCTCACATATGGCGTAGCGCTTTTAAAAACTTACGAATGTGCTGCTCAAAAAGAATGATTTCGTAATTATTCTGGAATCCTAAAAAGCTGAAAAATACAAATCAAAAAATTGTATACATAACCATGCTGGTTTGAAGAATCCTGTGGTAATTCCGAATCCTGAATTGATAATTTTTTTGTTCCAACGCGGCTTATGTGCTTATCGTGTTATGGACTTTCTTTAAAAATTAAAAAAAAATATATATTATTATATTTTTATGTTTTCAAATCAATACAGAGTTCACAAATTATTAATAATAAACACTGCTTAGTAAAAATTTTTCGCATGATAAATGGCATGTGGATGACCCCAATATGTGCATAAAATAAATAGAATATTCTACTAATCTTGTTACGTGCCACAAAGTTAACTATGCAAAAATGTCCTAAAAGATTCGAACTTCCTCATCAAAGAGCCTGCATATATATGTATACGTGTACATGTACATGTACATGTATACCGTGCAGACCTTTGCGTGCCTGTTTCTGTGATTATG